TATTTCGAGTTAATGGCCACATAAACAGCATCCTGCAGGCACTAACGTGAGATTTATTTCAAAAAGTAATATTGCGTACACATTAGTGAAGTATGTGGCCGCAATTTGACACTGTTAGTTACTTGAACAAGTACATTAATTAGTAGAGATATTTACGATTGTTTAAATTATTAATTATTAATGAATAAATACTGTAGAGCTTCTAATGTACAAATATTGTAAGTTGATTATATAACTTTAACATACACTATATGGATATGTACTGTTATTATTATTAAATTGTGTTTGCCCCATACCCCCTGCCCCACATATGAAGTTTGTCACTTTTTTAGACACTGTTTTTTGCCGCTAACCTCTCGTTGTGAAATAGAAAAACATTTTAAATTAACTATATCCAATTACCAAGGACACATAAGAGACTAACAGTATACAATACATATTTTTTCGTTACATGTTTTCTTTACAAAAAAAAAAATTGCATTATCTCCATCAATAAATTTGCTTATATAAAGGGGAAATATTGTGTTTCACTCAATTATCAAAATATTCAACGTTTAAACGCGAAATATATGAGTGAACTTGTTTTAAATGTTTTATAAATACGACCCGACGCTTCGAATACTACAGCAGCGGTTATTGTATAGTATAGTAATTTCAAACAAGTTTAACTAAAATATTTCGCGTTTCAAACCTTTAAAAGTATATTACAATGCTTACGTAAATATTATCTGTAAGTTAGGCTAGTAGTACTGTATTTGTGTTTTGTTAATTGCACTTTTAGCAGAACTTAGCGTGAATTGACGGGAAAAATCTTATAATATTAATTAAAATATGAAACTCACGCGCTCGTTCCAGACTTCAAGTGACAAGGGCGAATAATTTTTTGACAGCTGCAGATTAAATGTCATAAGCATAGACTATATGAACAAGTACCTACAGATAATACTAACTGTACCTCGAGTATAGAATATCAAGAAAATAGGTTTATTAATGTCCTCGTGATGTAATTGAACATTCTGCGCCGCGTCTAGTAACAAAAATCGATCTATGTAGAGTTGAAAGGAGAACGCGCATATTAATCAGACAATCTCAATAGAGGCACTAATTAGGTCTGACGGTGACAGTGCAAGGCGCGGTGTTTGCGTGCACCCCCTTTCACTCATTGTCTCCTGGTATTGTGCTACCCGCTTTGTTAAAACAACTCTACTGTTTACTCTTTAGCGGTTTTATAATGGATTCATAATTCGCTTTTGCGTAGATACAACGTGTAGGTGCAGTTAAACATTATATTTAATTATATTATCCTTTTTAGGCTTCTGTATACAAAGGGAAAAACTAAATCCTATTACAAAGATTCTCTTGTCTGTCTGTCACAGGGTGGCATCTCAAGAACCGCGATATCTAGGGAGTTTTTACAAATTGTGTATTAAATATTGTCTGTAGTTTACGCGAGTAGTACACTGTTAAATAAAACAATTAAACGGTTTAAAACGCGATATATTATAGTTAAACTTGTTTGAAAATTATTTTTAACTACGCCCCGACATTTCGGATGCTTTACAACAGCCGTGGTCACGGGAACTGTCTCTCGTGAACCGCCGGTAAAGTTTTAAAAGTTTTATATATCATTTTTTATAATATTTTGAAACATATTAGACTCCAAATGGTATCCACATAGATACCATTTAGTGGTATGAATACCTAAGTTCAAAAACAAATGAAGAAGCCGTGATTTTTTAATCGGTCACTGAAGTTTTTCGTTTTCAGTCTATGGATTTCCGAATACACAAAGATTGTAAGTGGTTGGGGTATTTATATCTGGGGTACCTTATCTAGCATCAAGAGGTCCAGGTCCATAATCAAGAGGCAACTGACGACCTCCGAAGACCAGTACCAATTCCTCTTACAGCTTACGACTTGGGGCTTTCACCTTCAGTACGAGAATTAATCCACCAAGCCACTATAGTTCAAGCAATCTTCGAATACAGTATCAGACACAAATGCTAGTGAAATCTGTTTATGGCACATGGGGTTTATTTATAACATGGCATTATTCGTATAATGTTCGTCGCTTACTGTTACGCTGTCAGTGCCAGGCCTAATTATTACCATTGAAATAGCTGATTAATATGCACTGCGCCGATGCTCCATTGTGGAAGCTGAATTATGCACATCAAGTGAAATAATCTGATTATGCAATATTGTCAAGTATCGAACGATTAATTCACGTTTGGATCACTTAAACGGTTTAGGGAATCTATTGAAGTGTCCATTTCTGTAACTGGTTGAACTGACAGGGTTCGAATTAAGGGGAAAGAATAAATTGTTTCGGTCGGGCAGGGCAGAGGAATCCCGAACGGCCGCCGACCCGTTGGCCGGCCCAAATACCGCTGGAAAGACGACGTTGAGCTTGACCTGGTGGAACTCGGTGTCTCCGAGTGGCGAACCGTGACGCAGGATCGGCGGAAGTGGCGTTCTCTTGTTCTGAAGGCCAAGACTCACTTTGGGTCGCTGCGCCAGCGGAGTAAGTAAGTAAGGGCAGAGGAGTCTGATCTTTTTGCCAGTTAATAAAACGGACACATAAATGTGTTCGCCTCATTCGTGTGGGGAAACGGGATTTCACTTAACTGTTGTCTCCGGGACTTAGTTTTTAGTAAAATTTTATTTAATTGTTTAGTAGTATGCGATATATATCTGTTAACTAATTTTTAAGTTATTTTAAAACGTCGAACTGTTAAAGTTACCTAATATATTTTATGTTTTAAGCAGTTAAACGCGTTATGTTTAAATTGATCCCGTTTTTTTGTGGCCGACCAAAACTTTAGTAATTAGTTGATTAGAAATGAAATTAGCCGTGTAATAGACATATAAATCTGAATGCCGCATTAGCGGCTTATAATCATTTATTATCTTTGTCATATATATATACACTTTTTTTTTAATATACCGAAACATTAAGTTTTTTGACACATCGCGCACGCGTTTAAGCGTTGTAAACAGAGTAGAGGAGCAAGTATTTTCAGTCTAATATAATTATTGATTCTTATCTCGCATACCTATACTAAGTTAAAAATACTATATATACATGCTACTATATGTATATATAGTAGCATGTATATATAAGAATACTATATTAGATGTATATCTAATATAGTATTCATAATAGAGATTTTGCTTACACTGAAGCAAAATTGATGTCTTGATTAAATAAACGTTTTAAACCAAAGGTCACATAAAACATGGAGGCTGTAATAAATTATTACTTAACTACAGTAGAAAAAATGAGTTCATTTTATAAGTTAACTAGTATTGTTTAAAATTAGCATTGCCCATTATTGAGAGCCTGGCAGCTCTCAGGATTTCAAATACGTCTAAAATTTCAAGAAGTTCCATTGTATCCGAGATCCATTGTTCGGGAACTAGACGTATAAAATCAATAGGCTATACACATTGCGAGAATAAAACGCTATTCGTTACGTCTAATCAGTGTTAGCTGCTGTTAGAGCTGGCTGCGTAATCTATGTATATAATGATTTGTCCTAAGTAGCTGACTGAAGAACGCTCTAGTCAACGCTGATATAGACCTGAAAGAAATGATTCTGGTATGTTATGCAGGACCTAGGAGACATCCTGCACCAAAGAGGTGTATCCACGACAGGCTCATTGGTGTAACAAGCAGCAACGTATCACTAACATGCCACGACCCCACCAGGTCCAATATTTTTCTAATAAATTTATAATTTCTCTGAAATGTGGATATAAAATAGGTAGGAAATATCGAAATTCCGTCCGAGTCACGAATTACAGTCTACAGATGAAAAAGCCTTGAATTTGATTGACGTTTCGTATTCAGTCTGTGGATTTACATATAACCAAAGTTTATACAGCGCACGATATTTAGATGTTATATGACAGGAAAGTTTTAAAGTAGTTTTACCAAAGCAACGCGTAACGCCGCGTGCCGCGTCTAGTAGCAAATACAATGAGGTTTGTAGACCCATCTGTCATCGTACATATAAACAGACTGAAACAATGGGCGTGGAACAAACAGTGCTGTCGCCGGCACGGACCAGGCATTCAGATTGATTTGTCAAACGCATTGTTGTGTACAATATGTCATAAGGATGAATGGAGGTTAGAGTTAGTTTCTAACGAAGTAGTAGATTAGGGAACCAATGGAGAAATATTGGACTGAGCATCTGGTCCGGCTCATCAATAGTTCTACGATTTATTTACAGCGATGCTGATGTTGCCAAGCGATGTTACTAGCGTTTGCGTGCTTTCGTTAAGCACACACCGAGTTTTAATCCAGGAGACATAATAAATTGTTTCCATTGAGCTGGGCAGATAATTCATATTAACTACATACCGAATATGTTCACCCCCTAGCCTTCAAGAAGTTAAGAAAAGTGTTCATTCTATTCTAGAGCCATATATCATATCTCAAATAACAAAATTGCATTAGATAAGTTGCTTAATTTAATTTTAATTTGATTTGATGATATTATGCTATCGCTAGTTTACGCCAGTAGTACAAATTTAAATATGTTAACGGTTTAAAACGTGATATATATTAGTCAAACTTATTTGGAAATTACTTTAACTACGGCCCGACGTTTCGGATGCATTGCAGCAACCGTGGTCACGGGGAGACTGATGATTTTATTCTCAATGACTGATTGTGACGAGAAAATGCAGTCGTTTGCTGTTCTAAGTGATATCAGATGACAAAACGTGTCGTCGTCACTCGCCACAGAGTGAAATAGAAAATGAGGAAAGCGGCATCCTAACGGAACAAAACATTTCCCCGAAGACATTAAAGTGTTTGATTTATCCGCAATTTATTAAATTACTTCATTCCAACTTTAAAATGGGACTATTAAGAATTGAAGCGCACTTTTGAACTAATTAAAAATGGGCGTTTCTTCGACACAATTTGGAGCGTTTAAGTGCTCACGCGGCCCGACGCTGTCCAAGTTGTTTCGAATAAAGAATTAATTATGAAGAGGAAGGGCAAGTTGGCGACGGATGAAGTTGCGAGTTTCAACCGGTTGCCGTTTGTGGGAGCGGCGCAGGTGCGACGCAAGACTGCGAACTTGGACGAGGTACACACGGTTTGTTGCCTTTCGGATGATAAACTTGATTTGAATCGCAGATTCGAGGTGTTTAAATACGTGATAAACTTAGTATTTGTTAACTCATTCTAAATTGACGTAGTAAATAATGATTTAAAATGGCAAGACACAAGTAAATACCTACTGTCTGTAGTTTACGCGAGTAGTACACATTTAAATAAAACACTGTAACGGTTTAAAACAGCCGTAGTCACGTCCGTGGTGACTACGGCTGTTGCAAAGCATCCGAAACGTCGGGCTATAGAAAAAATTCAAATATGTTTAACTAATATATATCGCGTTTTAAACCGTTCAAGTGTTTTATTTAAAAGGCATAAGTAAACAAACTTACAATAGTCATCAACTTGCTAGTGTTTTTTTATAATTAAAACAGAAGACAGAAAATCATAAAGTTTTGATAGAAGATGAAATATTCTAATACTATGGGGACATGGAAATATATTAAGGAAATTTTATAAACCCACAGAATGAAGAAGTAATGCGGATTTACACCTTAAGGTTTTCATGTGTAGACGGTAATTCCTGAATAAGTGACGTAGCCCATCGAATTGGCAAGCTGAAGTGGCAATAGATCGAGCACATCGCTCGTAGAACTGACGGCTGTTGGGGCGAAAAGGTTCTGGAGTGGAGACCACGTACCGGACGTCGGAAACCTGGACGACCTTCTACCAGGTGGACCGACGACCTAGTCAAGGTAGCAGGGAAACGCTGGATTCAACTAGCGAACGACTGTTCGTACTGGAAATCTATGGGGGAGGCCTATGTCCAGCAGTGGACACCGAACGGCTGAATCGAGACGGTAATTCCTGTCACCCATATTTTATTTAGATTTTCTACGTATTAACTGTAAATGTGTGGATTTAATGGATGGATGGAACCAGTCTTAATTGAACTTGAAAGCTTAATAAAATTTGAAGATCAATAATAAAATATACTTGTCACTATTGTAAAACGTATCATTTGTTACGGTGTAGTTTATAACAACAAACCTTGACGAAAGCTGTCAAGTCATCAATTACATATATTACTGTAGAACAATATCAGTATACTGTTTACAGTAATTCTCGTAGTTATGGAAGCCGTCATTATCTATATTGTTCAGGGTTAGCTCGCTGACCGTTGTTATTTCATAAACGACCGCATATAGTATAGATTTAAACTCTCTTTAAACGTGCATTCAAACATTAACACTCACTTCTTCTTCTTTGTAATTAAAATTATTAAATGCAATAATCTCAGGAAGTACAGGTTTGAATTGAAGAATTATTCTTGTGTTCGTGGAAACCAAACACAATGTATGAAAGGTATTGAGGTCGGTATATGTCTATCTTTTAAGATTAAATCTCCTAAAACTCCTCCCATCCGTGGGACACCGGGCGAACACATTTCTGTGTCCGTTCTACTGATCGGTTCTTTTGCAAGACACAAACTATTCTTTCCCCAGGATTTGAACCCAGCACCTTTCGCGCTTAATGCAAGGCAACACGTTTAATCAGCTACAGAAGCGGTCCTCATTTAACTCTTGTTGAATTTACAAATTCAATCCTAGTTGATTGTTAGTCATTGTCACAACTTATTCGTATATTTTAGAATTGAAATTGCTAAAACCTTGCCTCCCACACAAGACAATCGGAAGCGCAGGCTTCGATCGACGTCGAGTCGTGCCTCCGAAACAGTCCACTCGAGGAAGAGGAAGCCCGTGGACCAATTAATTGAACTAATTGCTTGTCATCTGTTGCTCTTACACGAGTCATTAGTCAAAACGCACTTGTGTACGTTTAGTTAATTTAATTACGGCGTAATAAGTCAAATGGTTATGTGTACGCAGCGTGCGTGCTATCGACTGTTATATTGTGTAATACATTGCAATATTGTCGTTAACACAAGGCATTCTTGCTTTATGATGCGCGATAAATAAGCCAGAATTTCGCCTCGTAAAATATATGCGAATGAGCCTCCGATATTGGGAATTATTTTATAAAGAAAGGCTCGTTTTTATCGTAAATAGATGTAGATCCAATACGTCCATTGTAATGGATGCATGTGTGTATCAGAAATGATTTATGGGGGTAATCAATATATCGGAGATAGCTATGAGTAAGATAGTAAGGCGGGGTACGATTACAGCTGACAAGGCAATTAATAAGGGCAGATGGCGATTGAGCACGAGTCACTCGCCTGACCGGTATTAATCATAGGCGGAGTGCTGATTACGTGTCGAAGATACGTCAGGAAGTGGTAAAAACAATAGCCACCAATTATTATCGATGACAGTTTTAAATAATTACTCATCGAATAAATTAAATTTGACATTATTATAACATGCAGAGTATATAGTACTTTGATACAAGCGAGATTCGAACCCTGGTCACTGTACTACCCACTTTATACTTAATACAATATAAAATAAAGATTATAAGTATTCATATTATTATACATATATATACGTTATATAAATATCCAAAAATGGATTCGAACCTGGGCTACTTGAATAACTTGTGCACCAGTTGCTAGTGCTAGTGTTGAATAACCAATGAACAATTTTAATATTTTTTTATCTTTATCTTATATCCATCGTTAGAGATTTCAGTATACGCAACGTTGTAATTTACTAGACAAGTTAAAATTATAATCATTATTTAGAACAATAAATCTGATTTGAAATATTTTTATAAAGTATCGAGTCGCGTAAATATAAAATATCTTGGTGCGATAAATGAGAACAGTGAGTGAGACTAAGTACACTTATCGAGGCGATTGTATCGCTGAAACTGAAATATGTTAGAATCTCGGCGTAAATGTCGGCAACACTCGATATATGTCGCATAAATATGGCAGCCTGCACTTGCTATTGATACATTTTGTGCTCTCCTTTAAAAATATCTTATTAAAGTTATAAGGCTTTTTATATGAGGCTACTTAGCCCACAAGTGCAACCCTCTCTCTCTCTATCAGAGATAACAACCATTAATAACTCCTCTGACTGTCCTTAGTTGGGACGATTAGAAATCTTAATAATTAATAGATTCTTACTGTCAGGTAAGTCACTAAGTGTCTTGTCCTGCTAAAACTACAAAATATCCTACCTACAAGAATTGATACTTAGTCTTCTTTTATTTAGTCATATGATTCGTGTATATAGTGGACAATTAAAGCAGATATTTCTTTAAAATTTAAGATTACATGAAAGACACACATTTTGTTAAAGACCCATCATCTTTAATGTACCGACCATTGTAACAATTTTTAAAATGAGATAATTAGTATTCAAATATAAACAAAAATAATTGGTGACATAGACTATAAAAAGAAATATAAACAATTAATATTTTCACTAAAATCAGAGAAGAGAACTGATCAATACAAGTCACCTATTACTTATACAAGGTAATAGGGCGTTGTCAATAACGGTGGCAATCGGAATACGTAATAGAAGCCGGCGTAACAGTCTCCTTAATGACATTTTACTTGCGTGATTGTCGCTGTCACTACATCAAAGTTGAAGGGAGGTGGTTAATTAAAACTCCGAGAGATACGTTTTATTGTTCTTAAGTTAATAGCGAGACTAAATTAATCTTGTAACTCACGGTTAGTGATAATATTACTGTAGCTTAGAATCCGTAAACTAATACATAATTAATTCAAAGATAAGCTTCTGAGATCGTGGTGTTATTTCGAGTGTAGGGATTTGTTTATAAATGACAGTTTATAGAGACGTGCTCGTAGCAATATATGGCCATTAATGAACGGGTTGTGGCTTCGGGCACCGTCGGCTCCAACATTTTTCTTATCAATTTTAACTTTTTTGTTACATGGTGGTGTCTGGAAATCTGGATATTAAATGGATGGTACAAATATCGTAATTCTGTCCTAGTCACGAACTACAGTTCACAGCCGTGAACTTGATACCTAATCTGATGTTGATCGCCTCTGTAGCTAAATGGTTGAACGTGTTGCCTAGCATTGCGTTAAGCGCGAGAGGTCCTGGGTTCGAACCCCGGGAAAGTAAATTGTTTCGGTCGGGTAGGGCACAGAAGTCTCTTCAACTACTTGCCTGTAAATAAAAGCGATCAGTGAAACGGACACAGAAATGTGTTCGCTCTATGCCCCACGAGGGGAAACGGGATTTCACAATCTGATGTAAATGGTACACATAGTGGGGTTGTTGGTTACATATGGCAATTTATCGTAAATGACTTAGGATTACTTTCCTACCAGAATGTATATGTGTCTTGATTTTTTTTTTATAATTATTTAAACATTTTCGAATATCCGTGGTCAAAATAGGTCAACAGTGTATTTTAAGTGTATACTAGTCTAGTATTACAGGTACTGCTAAACTGTGTGTCTACGTAAAACTCGGGCGTTTTATAAGGATTGTGTGTGCTTAAACAAATATACAGGTACTATACTATACTCCAGCACAAAGATCACAAGATCCCTCGTCTGTTTCAATTTGAGATAATATAAAGTTAAATAAAAATATTACAAAACTTACAGAATGAAAAATTAAATGTAAAAAACTTATGTAATGTATGTATAATCATCATCTATTAACTTAATAATTTTACAATCTAAAATAAATTATAAGAATTTTCGAGCTCGAGCAGTCCGTCAACTCGGCATGTTTGATTTGAGTTCTATTGCTCTCCAAGAACTACTTAGTTGTTTACTCATCGTCGAATTTTTTCAACCCGCTGCTTTACCGCTGGCAAGTCAATTGGTAAACAACAGCACGAAGCTACGATGCCGTCTAACGAATATAAATATCTTACCATTTTAACATAATATAGAAATAAAGCTCAAATGTAGCTTTCATATGTCAAAAAGTTTGGAGGAAAATTAAGAATAATGCAGGACTCAAACGACGGGTTCGGCTGTATTATTACTTTATTGAGATACTTCCTCTCTCATATAATTCTTCTAATTATATTACGCAATTCAATGCTGCGAATTAATATGCGATCATTATAAACGACATAGATGTAATCTTGAAACTAGCATTTAGAGCTATGATATTGTAAAACGGTGAACAAATAGTCTTTTAAGAAAATCCCTTTCAACAGTATATGCGAACGAGCTCGGATGATATTATGCAAGTCACGTCCAACTAATTCCATCAAGTGCACTGAGATCTTGCTTTTACTGGACACCTGTGCACGACGGAATAAAGTCGTCCATTTGAGGAATGGATTTTGAACACCAAGATAAACAGATTGTATTATGGTCTTATCGTACTTCTAAGAAACTAGTTTTAGCAGGGTAGCTTTAGTACGAGTTTGTGATATTGAGTAGAGATATTTTTAAATAAAACACTTTAACGGTTCAAAACGCGACATATTTTATTTTTAACTACGGCCCAACGAGAGATATTTGACTGAGGAGCTCGTTTGTCTAATAGTTGTTTAATAAAGGGGGGGCCCCCCCCCCCCCAAAACCAAGGTAGTAAGTTCGATTTCCACCGGGTTCAACATCTTGGTGTTCTATTACATGTTGGACTTCGTCTGGATATTAAATGTGTGGTAGGAATATAAAATTCCATTCCGTTCACAAACCACAAATGAAAAGACGTGAAGTTTAATAGCGTCAGTCGATTACAGTCGGTAGATTGCCAAATATCTCAAACCAAAAATAGTTTCACACCCGTGAATCCCATGCGTGTATATCCTTCTCAAATATAATAAGAAACGTTATATAGAACTAGCAAGAACATTAAGTCTGTGTTTGCTATATTGGTTGATAAACGAACAAGTAGTTCATCTCAGTGCGTCAGCCCGCGGAACTATTTGTTTATTCTCCCCAATCTGTGGGTTTCCAAATGCCAAAAGTCCTTATTAGATGTTAGAGACCTGGGAATCACATACTTCGTCTGTCCTTCTCTGTAATAAAAATACAATTTCACAATAAATTTGTAATTTAATCGCTGCACTAATAGCGTGTTCAAAATTACACGCAAAAGTTAATAATGTGATTTAAAAACATTTTACCAACACAAAACAACATTCTGGTACTGATTAACCGCTAATAAATCACCTGTCGCCCATAATTCCGGCAATTCGTCCATTAATAAGTGACATTAATCACTTTTTATTAACAGAACCGATAGAGAATTTATATAAAATAGTTTTAATCCACCATTCAGTTGATTTAACTTGTCGAATGCTATTGTTCGTGCGAGTTTCCGATTGCGATGAAAATCTCTGATATCTTTTCCAATACACTGGAGTTGAGTGTTACATTAATCCGGTTTTTTAAAAAGCATTATTATATGAAGCTGCTAGAGGCAGAGTGGCCTAATAAGAAAAAAATTGACTTTTAATAAGGAGGTAAAAAAGTCTTGGCAGAAATGATTTTGTACTATGATTTGTGTTAAATTATGTTAACAATTTTCAGTGATTGTGCTCTTAGAATATGAAAATATAAATAACTCAAATCATAAGATTGCAGTTAGGCCACTCTGCCTCTAGCGGCCTCATATAGTCGCAGGTTTAAAAACTGTATTAAATATCTCTCGCCAGTATTAAAACCTTTAAAATATAACGCGTTTAAGTAAAATATCGTTGTGTCCAGTAGTTGAGAGTGAACTATATCACTTTCGGGCGAATGTACGCGAAATCTGTACACGTCGCCGGTAGGCCGGTACTGCAAATTAATTCACGCCCTCAACCCCGGTTTTAATTTCGTTAGCTCCACTGATTTACGATGTCCATATTAAAGAGAAGTATGCGTACAACCTCTCAATTTAGACCCGCTCCTTGAATGATACGACCCCTCTGTCGCCTATATGAGCCTTGGGGCGGGCGGCGGGGCGTCCCAAAGTTACAGTGGTGGGTAACTTTTCAGCTCCATAATGTCGAATTAGTTTGGCTATTCGTTATGTGAATTAGAGTGAGATGTTGATTGTTCTAAGAAATTGCTACATTTAGCCGACATGTTAAATAATTCGCTCCTTTTTCTTGGAACAAAGTGATGAAGTAAATCGTTCGTGTTTTTTTTTATATACGAGGATATCTTTAGGGTGTTTGTTATCCTGTTTGTAATCGTAATTGGGGAATGGGAAAACTTAATTTTGCTTGTTAATTGTGCACTATGGTGCATAATTATTTAATTTAAAGATGCTGACTGATTAATATATATTATTTGTATATGTATTCTTCGTAACATCCAATAAAAGATGTAATAATAGTTCTTCAGTAAAAAGAGCTAACAATTTGTCATAAAATAAAAATCTTAAGTGTTGCAAGGTGGGATTACGTTTAAATTTACAATTAAATACAGGTCTGGTCGTCAATCAGCAAAGATAACGTTGATGAAGCGATGATGATCTATCTTATTCGTAAGTAACTTTTTAAATAAAACACTTTAACAGGCGAGACTAAGGTTGCTGCAGTCTGCGATGCTCATCCGAAACATCGCGTCGTAGTTAAAATAAGTTTAACTAATATATTTTGTGTTTTAAGTCGTTAAAGTATTTCATTTAAACGTGTACTACTCGAGTAAACTACGTACAGTATGAAATAATATTTTTGCATTCATATGTAAATGTTTAAAATTTATTTTTTAAAGAGATAATTAAATTTGCAATATAAAATCGCATACAAATTGAACACATTTAGTTACTTTTATTTCTATTAATTATATAACTACCTATAAATTACTTATAAAGTACCTATAATAACCTATAAAGTACCTACAAATTATTGTAAATTGGTGCTTGTTAAGTATTAACACAAGTGTGAATTTATCTCGCTTTTCTATCTATTTCTGAATTCCGTCTTCTAGTCTATTCTATAGAGGCAAATATTTTAGTCCAAAATTCTGTATGTCTGTAAGACCAGCGAAGTGAAATAATAAATTCGATTTAGATAAAATTTTAAACAAGTGAAACTCCAAAAAGTACGCCAGAAGCTTCCGCATGTCTGCATTATAGTCGGCCAATATCGAAATATGCCGACTCGGCGCTGTATGTGCCAACCTGTCGCAATTCTACTTTGTAACTCTGTTAGAATAGTTGAATTAGATCTCGACACTTCCACGTCACTGCACTCTATTGTTATCGCAGTGAAGGTATGATAAATAATGTTGCAAGATCTGACAACATTCGTAAGCATACGACCGGCTAGTTGGTGTAACGGTATGGGCTATCCCCGCCGAGGCCAACATTTTTCTTATATATTTATATTCTGTAACATGTTGGACTTTGTAAGTCTGGATATTAAGTGGAGGTAGGAATATCGAAATTCCATCTGGATTACGAACCATCGTCCACAGGTGAAAAAGCCGTTGAACCCCAAGGACGTTTGTCTTCCTTTATTATAAAAAAAATATTACAATAACAACTAATAAAACCATCTTATAGATAAAATTCTCGTGACATAGTGTGGCCAGTTACAACATGGTCCTCCGAAACTCGACCGGTTTTCATGCAATTTTATAAGTATATATGCAGTGTGTCTGAAAATCGGTTACTATGCATTTTTCATACGATACAACCCTTCACATTTGTCTTTTTATTTTTTTGTAAAAAAAATTTGAATAAACCGTTATTTTTCACTCTCTTCCTACCCCCATTTTATTTCCCCCGCTCGATAACGATTACCTGTTTATACAATCGATCAGTAAAACAGACGCAGAATTATGTTCGCCCCATGCCCCACAGGGGGAAACGGTATTTAATTTCCATGCATCTAATTTAATAAAGAGGACGTATACTGCGGAGCTAAGCTCGCATTGGGTGTAATAATACATTTAAACGGACTATAAAATACGTGAACAGGTGCTTTATCATGAGGAAAGCCGCGTGTCAGAGCGTAGCGGCGGCATGATGTACAGGCTCTGGGCTTACCCTGGCTCTGCCCCGGATATCTACAGAAATTAGTGTTGCTGTATTTTTGGAGTCTTTCTTTAACGATATTTTATGACTTTCGTGTTTGTGAGTACAGCTTTATATCTTACATATCGGTTAAGGGCACTTCATACAAGGTGCAAATATAAAGTATATATTTTATGGGTTTGTAAGTCACAAATTAAGTCAGATTTGTATTCAACTAGTGAAAATGACATCGACAGTTTGATATCACTTTTATAAGAATTGCAACCCTCACATATTATATATTTATAATAAGGTAACGTGCTCGTCATAAAATCGTTATTACAATGCGATATAGCATCGAAATATATATTATTTATACACTTGTATATCCAAAATCAGTCAATAGTACATCTTGTTTCACTGTATGTCAGGAACATACACTGAAACAAGATATGGTGGCCCCCAAAAATAATTCTAAATAACAATAATAAATTAAAGTAGCAAGATAATATAACTTATGTATACAAATTTTGATAATTACGAGTAATTTGCAACGCCTTAATTTCACAATTTCAACCAGAAAAGAGAATAAAATTAGTATTACATCCACATCAAACATTTAGAATGATTACAAAAATTACTTGTCCATCCAGGGACCACTAATAAAACATGACTCCAAAGAGAATAGATTATAATTTCGCAGACGATTTATCCGGTAATAGAGTTGCGGTCTTAACAAACAAGATTAAGTTGGAGAAAGCGGGCTTTATAAATTTATGAACTGAACAATCCCTTAATACCCAAAACTGATGTCAGAATTTTAAGTTCGTCTCGCAGGGAAGTTCGTTCGTTCGTTAATCCAGCCGAATGCTTGCAAGTTGCAACACTCCAGCCAGGCCGGAGATGGAGTTTACTTACGTCGTTTAAAAATGCACCAATTATTTTCATGCAAATTACATTTCTTTGAATCGTTTGTGGCATTGTTTCAAGAAACGTTATATTTGCATTTTTTATATCTTATTCGTAAGCAACATGCTGGTGGTTAGCGGGATAACGGTTTAACAGGTGGTAAAAAATTAAAACAAACACTTGTTACTTTTTTCCCCTATTTATCATTAATAATTCAATATTAATCTGTACAACCTATTATCAATAACAATTCGTTTCATCTTCTTTTTGAAAATTTACTAGTAGTCTCAACGACTCTCTCTAATCATCTCTATTTTCTTACCCTGGGTTCGAGGGGAAATATTGATCCATTGATTCCCAGTGTTAAGGTTGAAATTACACGTGTATCTAAGTGCGTGAGGTCCACTCGGTAGCTCGCTTGGTAGAGAACAGCACGGAACGCTGCGATGCCGGTTCAAGGCCTGCCCGAGTCGAATTTTTTACAATTTTTTCAATGTTAAACATGATTGAGCTATTTCCCCCACTTTTTTCTCGCTCCGCTTCATCCTTCTCTGAAAAGTTGAAAAGAATTTAAATCAGTTTTACCTACATTTTTTTAATAACAGTTAAGAACTTAGACACTGGAGCAGTGTGGTGGTACTAAGTTCTTAAACCCTCACGGCGAGAACCTGTCACATTAATAGGTTGGAACGATGTTTTTTTCTGTAACTTTATATCAAAGTGCACCGACAATGACAATCACAACGAAAAGTGTATTTAATATTTTTCTGGCTAATAGCAAACCCATTAGTCCTGTTGAACAAACAATCGTGTTGACATAAAATTGTATCACGTAAACGTGAAAGTTTCGCCGAACAAGTGGTAACGAGTGATATACAAATAAATTGTACAATTCACTACGATAAATCAATGTACATTGTCGGTCTGTACATTTACTTAAATTCGAGAGTTTGTAAAAGTAACGATAGAGAAAATATATAATAATCTTTTCTGTCTGTATGTACACGCTAACCTCAGAAAGGATTGCTCTTTATGTGGTTACAGTGGTTCACAGAGTTGACTTAGTTTGGCTGTGTTTCAATCAAATGCTAGAGAAAATAGATTATTGTTACTTAAATATTGTCTGTACTTTGCGCGAGTAGTACACACACACAACACTTTAATGGTTTATATATCAGTAAAACATATTTGAAATTAATTTTTAATTATATTATTCGACCCGACGTTTCGGATGTTTTCACGGCTGGTGCCTAAGCATATATCCAATACATAGTTTTATATTCATCTGCGGTGGATACGAAATAAAAAAGAAGAAAGTAAGAATAAATTTAAATGAATTACGGTTTAAAACGCGATGTATACTTATATGATGTTAAACTTATTTGGAGATTATTTTATTTACGGCCCGACGTTTCGAATGCTTAGTAGCAGTCGTGGTAATATCAACGCGTTTTAATCCGTTGAGGTGTTTTATTTAATTGTGAACTACTCGGGTAAATAATAATAATAATAATAATAATAAACTCTTTATTGCACAAACATAGACATAAGAACATGGATACATAGAATTACATATACAAAATAAAACATGTTTGTGCAAACGTAAACAACGGACAGTATATAAATTATCGAAGTTAAAGGCCAGCAAAGCAAGCTGTGTCAGGAAGATATAAGTGAAATTCCGTTTCCCCCTCTGGGTCATGGGGCGAACTCATATCTGAATCAGTTTTGGTAAATGTAAATTCAATTATTTACATGTTTTACAGGCTTTATTGTTTCCCAGTGAAACTAAGACCTCTCGCGTTGCAATATTAGACGCGGTCGCAGGCGGAAGCTAGTTTAGTTTATGGCGATAGTATCGCACGTACTCGCACAGCCCGCTTAGTTGCAAGTCAAACTCAAATCGGAAGTTCGCTCCGGATAACTTTCACGTGCTAGATACAGTGACGTCTCTGTTACGTGAATAATATGTATTAGTTCTAATGATTCTTACAACAAACGATTTTTGCTTACTCGCTTTTGCCCGTTTCCAGGAAGGCAAAGCTAATTCAATTTTTGGGTTTGTATAATTAAATTTGCAATTTGAAAATGTATCTTGAACAGAAACATTCCTTTACATAAAACAACTGACTTGGTTAACTTATATTCTTCTAACCTTAATAAAAGCACAAGAAAAATTATTTGTTAATCTATATACTAATATATAAAGCTAAAGAGGTTGTTTGTTAGTTTGAACGCGCTAATCTCTGGAATTACAAGTCGAATTGGAAAATTCTTATCGTGTTAGGTAGAGCATTTATCTAAGGCTATAAAACATTGCACTGTGACTAATATAAGCGAAGATACAATGAGAAATATGAAAATAATTGGGAAGTTTTTTTTTCAAATTCCGAGGCGTACGCTGCAAAAGCTTAAACAGTTTAAACTCAAAAAATATGTATGCAAGAATGATTCCTCTTTAAATGATCTATAAAAAAAGTCCACGACTCTCTATGTCTATCTTTTAAGATTAACTTGCAAGATCTACGGAAAGGGACGTGACCGACGTCATGGGGAACACCTTTACTTTATAAAGATGACGGGGTTTGCAAAAACGAATTTGGATGTACAAAATAACGATTCCCGCGGACTAAGTCGCTTGGGCAGCTAGTTTTAAATATATGACAACAAACAAATAAAGACAAAAGTATAACCCGACGTATAGAGAAATATTTATTTCATCTTAAGGAACAGTTAGTTAGCTACGTAAGAAGAATCAAGAAGCAAACTTACACAGTATTAAATGGAGTTATTTGATCATACTCTGCAAAGTTCACAACTATTTCTCAACACATAAGTTATTTTAGTTTTAAACTGTAAGTTTAAGTCACTATTGTACTCCATTTTGGATCTTAAGCTTTATTGAATGAGGGAATTGTTTAATATTGTATATTATAGAATATGTACGTCGAACTTTGTATTTAACTTAAATGTTTAAATAGACAAAGAGTATAGTTAAAATAATCAGTTATTGAAATGATAATTTGAAATGTATGTATGTATGTCTTCATAATTAACGATTCCTTAAAATATAAATTGAATTTTTAATTATTGCTTATGCATTTAAGTCGATATAACTTGTCCTAGTAATAAACTTTCTTACATTTTTTTAAATATCCATTAGAAGAGAATAAGTATTTAAGGTATAATGTATACTTCGAAAATAATCATCATTATAAATACTTCATAATCATAATTAATAAATTAAGCCGCAAAGAATTCATTTCATTTCGCGAACTGCAGATTCCGTAGAAATTTTCCGCCCGATAAAATGTTTCAAACAAATATTACAAGACATTTTATTAAGCTGATAATATTCCCCGGTACAGAAGTTCAATTTGGATTTACTGAAACAATTTAGCTGTCCGATAGATACAATCGAGGGAGCTTTAAATTTTATTATTTGCCCGTTCTCGTATTTTGAAAATGCACACGAGTTTATTATGTGGGCGGGGAAATTCTAACAGGTTAGGATAAGCCTAACACGCTAATGTTATTTGAATCCGATTTGAAATACTAGCGGATATTTTGTAATCCAAATAATGTGTTTCAGATATCTAATATAACTTTACTTGGAATTGCCGATTGGACTCGTTTGGGATTATTGAAATAATTTATCTTGTCATTCCTATATGCTATGCTTTGTGTTAGAGGCTTTATAAAAATAGAGATCTATTCGCTATGACATTTATACGAAACAATAGAAATCTTTGGTGACTGTATAGGATAAAAAAATATATTTTTATATATTTTTGTCTATACGTACACACCAATATGCCTAAGCACTGCAAAAAAAATAAAATAAACTTCTCACATTTTATTAAATTAGGTTGCCAATCCAATGCAAAGTTACTGCTATTAAAAGACACTATATGACGTAAAAAATAATTAAAAACTACAATTGTATAGGAGTTAGTCTTCGCTGAGTTGAAAAAACCTTCAACCTTCAAGACCTGGAGACGCCGTAATTGCACAATGTCCAGAAATATTTCTTAGACAATGTGTAAGTAGGAAAGCTTATGTAGGAAAAAATGTTTATGCTTAATTATTTTTAAGTAAGTGAACTTTCCAATCACTTTTCCAAGCAGACAAAGCCGCGGACGAATGCTAGTGTAGTA